CAAGGTCTTTTGCTCAAAAATTCCATCTAGCTGAGAAGAAAAATTATAATTGATGTCTTCAGACTCACAAAATGAGTGAATTTTGAATTCTCAAACTCCTTGTCATGATAGCTTATGATCCTAACAGTCATATTCTTTTGTTCCTTCTGAACATTTTGACATAAAACTTTAAGAGCTTCAAAGATGTCTGATTTTTATTTAAGAAAGTTTACCCATGTAAACCTAGAGAAATCATCGATAACCATATTAACATACTTCTTTCCACCCAGACTTTTAGTCTCCATAGGTCTCATAACCCCCATATGGAGAAGTTCTAATATTCTTGAAGTAGTCTAATGATGCAACATTGGTTGTGACATCAGGATATGCTTATTAACTTCACGCTCACCATAGACTTCCCTTTCTTCAACCTTTAAATTTGGCATTCCTTTAATTAATCCTACATATATTATTTCCTTCATTCTTTTGAGATGACGATGTCCAAGTTTTTGGGGCCACAAATTCACTTTATCCTCTTGAGTTTTTGAACATGTGGAAGAGTAAGCAGTTATCTGAGGTTCCCAAAGATAACAGTTATCTTTAGACCTTATACCCTTCATCAGAACATCATTTTTCTCATCTTTGACTAGACATTCTGACTCGGAGAAAATGAATAACAAACCTTGATCACACAATTGACTAATGTTGATGAGGTTAACAGTTAGTCCCTTCACAAGAAGAACATCTTCCAACCTAGGTGATCCAACATCCATCAATTTATCAACTCCTTTAATTTCTCCTTTAACACCACCACCAAATCTGACAGCACATGTCGGCATGGACTTAATATCCATCAACAACTTCTTATCACCTGTCATATGTCTAGAACATCACTATCAAAGTACCAATCTTCTCTAGTTGAAGATCTCAAGGGTGTGTGAGTTATAAGATTATCACTCTTATCTTCGACATTTCTCTTTTTGCTAACTGACTTATCCTTGGACTTAACTGGTGATATTTGATTTCCATGCAATTTATAACAAAATGGCTTTATGTGACCATACTCTCCACAGTAATGACATCTCCAACAAGATTAGAAATTATTTGGAGGTTCATTATGTCTACCAAAATGTTGTAACATGTGGTTAGACATTGTGGTCATCTTCTTCCTTTCAAAAGAAAAGAACTTTTCTTCAGACATTCTTCTCTGTCTGTTATCAGGATGATAATGGACTTTTGTATCTTTGGTATTTTTTATTTGATCAGCCCTATTTTCCATCCTTCTTAAGGAATAAGTAACATTATTGAGCTTGGAGTTTAGGAGAGTTATCTCACTTTGAAGATGAGAAACAACACTTAAGAGTTCATTCTTCTCATTCTCCAATTCAACTATGGCCTTTCTCTTATTTTCCTCTGTCTTCTGATATTCCTCACACCTGTTGTAAGTTTCCTTATAATCCACATCCAAATCTTCATAGAGATCATTTTCATCACAAACTTCTACTTCATCAGCCCACCTTCTAGAGAGAACAGTAACAAATTCAGCAGTCTCTTTGTTGGATTCATCTTCAAACTCATCAACATTAGATCAAGAAACAATCAATCCCTTTTTCTGCTTCCTGAGATAGTTGGGACATTCTGGTCTAATGTGACCAAAACCATCACACTCATAACACTAAATCCATTTACTTTGATATGACGTTTCTTCAGTTCTGGTATTCTTGTCATATGGGATATCCTTGACACATGGTCTTCCTCTTATATCTATTCTCTTTAGAATTCTATTGAACTGCTTCCCAAGTAAAACAATTGTATTTGACAATCCCTCCTCAGTATTCAGGTTAGCTTGACCCTCTTTATCTTCAATATTGGATACAAAAGCAATGCTTTTGTTCTTCTTTTCAATTCTATCATTCAAGGTCAATTCAAATGTTTGAAGTGATTCCACTAGCTCATCAACTCTCATACTGCTGATGTTTTGGGCTTCTTCAATGGTTGTGACCTTCATGTCAAATTTCTTAGGAAGAGACCTAAGAATCTTCCTCACCAACTTCTCCTCTGATATCTTTTCTCCCAAGTCACTAAAGGCATTAGCTATTTCAAGCACATTCATATGAAAGTCATGAATACTTTCATCTTCTCTCATCTTCAGATTCTCAAATTTGGTAGTGAGAAGTTGAAGTCTAGACATCTTCACCTTGGGTGTTCCTTCATGAGTTGTCTTGAGAATTTCCCAAGCATCCTTAGCCACAGTACAAGTGTTGATCAACTTAAACATGTTCTTTTCAACTCCATTAAATAAAGCATTCAAGACTTTGGAGTTTCCAAGAGCTATCTCATCTTTCTCCTTGGTCCAATCCTCTTCAGGCTTCAAGGTTTCTTTTTCATCCTTATCCTTAACCACAGGGTGCTCACAGCCCTTGATGATAGCCTTCCAAGTTTTGCTATCCATAGATTTTAAGAAAGCCACCATACGTGCCTTCCAATAGTCATAATTAGTGTCATCCAAGACTGGATGCCTATTAACATTCCCTCCTCCCTCCTTGTCCATAAAACCAGAATACAAACTCCTTAGAGCTCACCCGAAAGCAGAACAGGGTGACCTGCTCTGATGCCAATTCAAATTCTGGCATGCAGATACTAGATGTCAAGACAAATGTCACAACACTGGGATTAAAAGAACTTGAACACAAAAATAAAAATGTTGAGATTTAAATGACAGAAAAATAAAAAAATAACACCAGCAATTGTTAATCCAGTTCGGTGCAACTCACCTACATCTGGGGGCTACCAAGCCAGGAAGGAAATTCACTATGATAGTATTAGTTCAAACCTAAACTCCCTCATTTACAACTTCTCGCTTAATCCCTACCTTGTGCAACTTCTACCTAGAAACCCACTAGATATGAGATCCCCCTCTTATTTCCTAATCAGTCACAATCTCAATGACAATTCAACAACAATAAATAATAAAAGTAGCACACTTCCAAGACAATACATGATTTTGCTTAAAAGCTTCAATCAAGAACAATACACTATTGCTTAAAAGCTTTAGAGAAGGCAATGAACAATGAACAATCAATCAACCTCAATGCATCAGAAGATACATGAATGACATACAATTAACATACACTACATCTTAAGGCCAACCAAAACATGACTAATCCTTATTTCCTAAATTCTTCACTTCGTGTTCTCTCTATATCAATAGGGTTTGGTCTTTACTTTAAATAGCCTTCAGACCTAATGGACTTGGACTTCTTGAGGCAGATAAATAACAATATTCAATTTTAACTCACTGCAAATCATTCTGCACAATAAAAGGAACAAAATACAAACTTTCCTAAAAAAGTTCCTTTTTATGAAAACTAATAGAATCTGTCATAACAGAAATTCCCACAATATACTCCCATGAATATCGCACACGTGTGAATCAGCACACACTCAAAAAACACACTAAAAATACCAAAATAGTCATGTCCTAACTTTCTGGTATAACATGTCTTGGAACATGTCACAACATCATGCAAAACATGATGTCTGACTGTCATGGTAGAACATCTGATTTAACAGCTTACTAACAACATGTTGTTTTACCAAAATGTAACCAATTCAAAAATCACAAAACTTACATTAGGCATGACAAAAAGGTGGATCGTCGGAGATTTTCACTTTCTTCAAACTCAAATCTCAAATTAAAATCCCTAAACGATCTCTATTTCACGCTCCAAATTTTATAAGAGATGAATAATTAGAATTTAAATCTATCTAAATGAATTTGAATATCTCCGTCTTACTATCATCCATTTAAAAATATCAAAATTTTAAAAAATAATTTCTGTCAACTTCAGATCAAATTTGAATGAATATCCACATATTCGAGTCGCCATGCATTAAAAACTATAAAAAAAAATAATAATCATTATTTTATAACTCATTTTCATTACTTTTCTCATACATATAATAAATAAACAAATTATCAATAAGAGGTGATAAAAAAAGTGTGGATAACGTGGACTCAAAATAAACGATAGAAGAAGAGTCAACTAGTGAAAACTCCTCTAACTGAAAGCACTGTAACTCCACTCGCCCCAGTGGGAATCTAAAAGCGCGTGGTCCTATTAATTCCCAAACCGGGACCCGCTCGTCTTGTTTTTTTCCTTAATCAAACACTTCCACCACTATTTTCTTTTCGCAACGCTTTTTCTTCTTTAACTCTATTCATCACCTCTGTAAAATATTTCACAACACTTTTTTTTTCATCATCATCACTACCTTTTCGTACCAGTATTTCTCAACATTGAACTATGTATGTATAATTCTATATATATAATATATCTTTGATTTAGAGTCATATAAAGTTGTTTTTTACATGTGAGTTTAGTGTCTTAATAGCCTCTTTTGTTCTTTTTCTTCTTGTCATTTTACTATCACTTTAATAATATATACTTCATCATCAAAGTTTTTTTTTTGTTACAGGGTGTCCTACACTACACCAACATCACATATGAGTTAGTTTCCTTAAAGCTACACTTAAATCTCAATGCTTTTTTTAGTGGAACACTCAATTAAGGTGAGAATGAGATTCTTCCTTCCACCTGTTTGATGAATGGTTTAACTGTACCCATCTCTGTTTTTTTGTTTTTTTTTTTAATTTTGTTTTCTTAGCTTAAGGATGAAGAAAATGCAATAAAAATCATTTTTTTATGTGGGTTCATTTCAATTTTTAATTTTGATTCAGTTTTTTTTTTTCATCATAGCAATGATTTTGGAGGTTCAGAGAGTTATCAAAAGGAGAATTAATCGGTAATATTTTGGGATTTTTTTTATTTTTATTATTTATTTTTTATTTATTTTTAGTTTTTTTGGTATTGGTTTCATGACGGTTTTTTGTTATGGAAGATACTGATTTTATGTTTGTGTTTTTGTTGGAATGAAGAAAAAGAAGATTTTGATTCTGAGAAACTAATTGAAGTCGGAAAGAACAAAAGGGGTTTATTAGTTTTGGTGAATTGTATCTAATGGAGACAGAAGCTGAAACTGTGCAGCCTCCGGTTGCACCGGTGAGGTCGACTAGGAAGAAAATGACAAAACAGTTGACGGGGAAGCGTGACGATACGCCTTTACATTCTGCGGCAAGAGCGGGAGATATGGCTTCTTTGAGGGGCACGGTGGATGGTGCTGAAGAGGGTAAACTGCGTGAAGTGTTTGCGAAGCAGAATCAAGGTGGAGAAACGGCACTTTATGTTGCTGCTGAGTATGGTTATGTTGATATGGTTAGGGATATGATTCAGTATTATGATCTTGTTGATGCTGGAATTAAAGCGAGAAATGGTTTTGATGCGCTTCATATTGCGGCTAAACAAGGGGATTTAGGTATGTCTTTGATGTAGTTTTTTTTAAATTGGTGGTTCTTTTTTGTGTTGTGTGGATGTGGAAAAGGAGTCTTCATGAGGTTTCTGTCACATGAAAAAGGAATCATGAGTAGAGTCAATCTTTGCGGAGAATCACAGTCAAAAGCATACATAAAAAACTTTGATGTTGCAATCCAAATTGCGGCCGTAAAATTTTTTGAATAGTAAAATCATGAGTATAGTTTTGTTGCACCAAGTTGCTCATTTTGTGCTTTTGTGATGCTTTTCATTTGCTTGTTCTTTTGTGTTTAGTGGAACTGATATTTTAAATCGTGATTCTAGCCGTGTCACGAGCTTTGATATTGCAGAGAATCAAAGTTAAATGTTGCTGATGCAACCTCAATTATGACCAGGAAGAACATATAAAAACTTTGTGCTGCAATTCAAATTGCGGTTGTAGACTTTTTCTAAAAAACCCTGAGTAGAGGTTTATAGCACCAATTGCTCGTTGTGTTTTTGTGATGCATGTGTGATTTTCAAGACTCGGAGTGTTTACAAACAATTTTTGTTTTTGTTTTCTGTGTTGTAGATATAGTGAAGATCCTAATGGAGGCCCATTCTGAACTGGCAATGACTGTGGATCTATCCAACACTACGGCCTTACACACAGCTGCAACACAAGGGCACACTGAGATAGTGAAATTTCTATTAGAAACAGGTAGTAGCTTGGCAGCCATTGCTAGAAGTAATGGCAAAACAGCTTTACATTCTGCTGCAAGAAACGGACATTTGGAGGTCGTGAAAGCGATTCTGGAGAAGGAGCCTGGTGTTGTAACAAGAACTGATAAAAAGGGACAGACGGCGCTTCACATGGCGGTGAAGGGACAGAGCCTTGTAGTAGTAGAGGAGTTGATAAAAGCAGATCCATCAACAATAAACATGGTCGATAATAAGGGCAATACGGCATTGCATATAGCTACCAGGAAGGGTAGAACTCAGGTAAATTTCATTGTGCCTGCCGTAATTCTTCTAACATTTACTCAAACAATTTCTTTGTATATATAGATAAGGTCACGAATACAATAAGTTGAATGTCGATTCTCACCACCATCTTTGTCGATTAAGCTCTTTTAACTTTTCTCTATGCAGATTATTAAGTTGATACTTGGGCAGAGTGAAACAGATGTCATGGCAATAAACAAAAGTGGCGAAACAGCATTAGACACGGCTGAGAAAACAGGAAACTCTGAAGTAAAAACCATTCTAACAGAACACGGCATTCAAAGTGGAAAATCCATAACAAAACCAAAAACAGCTGCAACTAGAGAATTAAAACAAACCGTTAGCGACATAAAGCATGAAGTCCATCACCAACTAGAACACACCCGCCAAACGCGAAAAAGCGTTCAAGGAATCGCAAAGCGTCTCAACAAAATGCACACAGAAGGGCTCAACAATGCAATCAACTCAACAACCGTCGTCGCAGTCCTCATAGCAACGGTTGCATTCGCCGCTATCTTCACCGTCCCAGGCCAATTCGTCGATAATCCAAAAAACGTTCCTAAAGGAAAGTCGCTTGGGGAAGCAAACATAGCGCCGCAAGCTGCGTTTCTAATCTTCTTTGTGTTCGACTCGTTTGCGCTTTTCATTTCTTTAGCGGTTGTGGTGGTTCAAACTTCAATAGTTGTTATAGAAAGCAAAGCAAAGAAGCAAATGATGGCTATTATTAACAAACTAATGTGGCTGGCTTGTGTGCTTATTTCTGTTTCATTTTTGGCACTGTCTTTTGTAGTTGTTGGGAAAGATCAAAGGTGGCTTGCAATTGGAGTAACTATAATTGGAACAACTATTATGGCAACTACATTGGGAACTATGTGTTATTGGGTTATTAGGCATCGAATTGAAGCTTCAAATATGAGGAGTATACGTAAATCTTCAATGGGAAGCAGGTCAAGGTCTTTTTCAGTTTCAGTTGTTATGTCAGATTCTGAGATATTAAACAATGAGCGTACTAAAATGTATGCTATTTAGAGATTAATATAATAAAATTTTCACTTTCAATCTTTCTCCATTGTACAATATAGATATTCAACTAAGTTGAGGCTTATCAATGTATATGAGTATTGAGTTTATCAACCAGTCTTGCCTAAGATTAATAGGATAACACGCATAAATAAATAGTCTTATTTTCTTATGATGTCTAAAATAGTATTATCTTATAAATTGAGAGAAAATCGGTGAATGCTTGTATAAGAATGTTAAATAAATCATAAATTAAAATAAGTTGATTGTGATATTAAATTAGTTTATGCTAACTCAAATCGTGAAGATAATCAATCAATGTGGTGATGTATTATTTAATTTTGGTCGCTCTTAAAGGTTTGATATTGTTTTTTCATAAAGATTGTCCGACTCAATTTGCTCATCTGGTAGAAGCCGATGGAATAGGAGTTTCTATCCTTAGTGTCTTAGTGTTATTGTTGCGTAATTTTTTTCTTTTCGAGTAATAAAGTTATTGATAGAACATTAATTTAAAAAATGTTACATTCTTTTTTTTTTTACACGTGATATATATATATATATATATATATATATATATATATATATATATATATATATATATATATATATATATATATATATATATATATATATATATATATATATATATATATATATATATATATATATATATATATATATATATATATATATATATATATATATATATATATATATATATATATATATATATATATATATATATATATATATATATATATTTTGATCTGACTTGATCAGAAGGGAATTGCTGGACCGCCACGCGTCTTTGATCTGTGGCCTGTTCACTGGGAGTATGAAAGAGGAGGGGGGTGTACCTGCAAGACACTCTGATGCTAAAATGAGTAATGGACTAGAGTGAAAGCAAATACAGAAGAGAGATAGAGAATTGAATACCCGACCCTCTAGTGAAAGAGGGTATTTATAGTGAGACCCCAACGTAAGACCAATAGTCACTTGTGTTGTGCTGGATTGCCAGGCCCAACTCAAGGGACTGTTAGGGCTTACGTGGCGTAGTGAAGACCAGGATGTGGTCTTCGCCCTAGGTCAACTGCCCTGTGATCTCCGGAAGGTGGGCTGACCTGCTATTTCGGAGGTGGGTAGTTGTCTGATGACGTGTCTCCGCGGAGGGGAGCACGTGGAGAACGTGTGAGGCACACGTCTTTCTGCCCGACGGAGGGAAGCGTTCTACCCGGCAGGGCAATGTCTGGTCGACGGGGCCTTGTGCCCGACACATATGAGGAAGACTCCTTTGTGCCTTTCCCCAAGTATAGGTGGGTTGGGCCTTCCCGACCAGGTCGGGGCCCAGGCCAGAACAGGAGCCCCCAAGTCCTAGCTTCGAGGTGAGGGAGCGAGGACTTGATGATGTTGCGCTTAGGCGGGAGAGTGCACCGGGAAAGCTACTGTCGGGCCCTGATGTTGAGGAAATGTTCCTACCTGATGCGAGCATGGCCGTGTTCGGGTTGTCGGACGTCCACGCGGACACGGCCCTAACGGACTTTGTTGTTGGGGAGATGTGAAGGTTGTTGTCGGGGAGATGCGAAGGGACGCGACTGTCCGCCTAAGCCACATGTCAAACGTTGAATGGGCCATGTGGGGAGGCTACCCTAGGGCACTCAAGTGCCTAGGGACGCTTCGAGTCCCGTGCTGGGGGTATAAGTACGTGAGCCCCTGTCCATTCCACATTTTTACTTCTGCTTCCTTTCTCACGTGACGATTGATTTGTTCGTGTCTGCTCGCCATCTCCGCCGCAACCACCGCCGCGCATTCCGCCGTTACCTACAATCTAGTAAGTTTCCTTTCCTTGTCTTTTCTAGTTCCGTACCCTAGGATTGGCACCGGGGCATGTTGAATGCCCCGAGGGGGGAGGTGAGTTTCCGCCGCTGCAAGGGGAGTTTTTTTTAGGGTTTTAGATGAATACACCGAGGAGAAGTGAGGGGATAGTTTGAATCCCTCGGGGACAGATACTTGCTTTAATGAATGCCACAGGGAGGGACGATAGGATCAGTTGAATGTCCCAGAGAGAGTAGGTAGACTGGATGAATTCCCCGGGGACGCTGTAGAGCGATTTAATGAGCGTCCCGGGGATGCGTGACAGAGACAAATGTGTATCCCGGGGAGAGGGAAGGACTTAGAATGAGTCCCTCGAGGATGCTGCCTGGGGGGATTTTAACTGTCGCCCTCGGGCGCTGTCCTCGTCGCCCTTTCACTTGACTTGCGGTGGAAGGGTGAATTTGATCTTGGTTATCGAATTCACCATGACCTTCTGCTGTTCAGGTGTTAATGATTTCGCGGGTCCCGGGGACTATGGTCGTAGATGAAGAATCGAGCGCTGTCTCTGTCGATGAGCGACTCCGCCCTGTTGAGGAGTGGGTGGCCGAGGAGCCTCTACCCACGCCTTCGTATTTTGTTGATGACCCGATCGGGGCTTTTGCTACTGTTGAGGACAGGGGTGAAAACGATCCCATAAGCTAGCAAGTGTATCGGCCACGAGACGACCACCGTATATGCTCGAAACACGGGAGAATGCAGTTCCCCATGTACGAGTTTTGTTTCTGGGAGGCCGGGCTCAGATTGTCGTTCACGGACTTTCAGTTGGGGGTCTTCGACTGGTTGCGGTTAGCCCCCTCACAATTGCACCCAAACGCCATATCATTTGTTCGACCGTTCGAGCTCGTTTGTAGGTACTTGAGATCGGGGCCACGTTGAAGCTGTTCTTTCTCCTTTTTCATCTGCAATGGCAGACGGTGGATGGGCGGTATAGATGGGTCTTGCTAAAACAACCGAATAAGCTTTTTCGAACGTATATGGATTCTGTCCAGGACTTCAAGGGCCGCTTCTTCGTGGTCAGGCCGGTTACCCAAGAAGCGTGTGCCTCGTTGTATCAGTTAGGGGAGCGAATGGTAAACGGGAAGAGGGGGGTCGTCATGGTGTCGAAGGTGCCCGTAGAGTGGACCGAGGAGCATTTTTTGAAGGGTACTGATTGATACATCATGCGGGCGGGGACCCTCAACGAGGAGGACCTGGCCAACTATCAAAAGATAGTTGCGTTCGTGGCCAGCCTGCCCTCGTCGAACTTAGTGACGCCCGACGGAAGGTATATGCTCGACAGTGAGGGGCGCGTTCGCCAGACGAAGAGACTGATCAACACGAAAGACCTGCTCGAGTACTCGTCGGACGCTGAGGCCCTTAGTTACTTAGGTGGTGGTTGTCTCTTCCCCTGAGTTCCCTTTTCTCTTTTATTTATTTATTAACTCATCCCTTTTGTTTTGCAGGGAGTATGTCTTCTGTCGAAGAGAGGGTGAAGAAGTTGGCCGCCTTGAGGGCCGCTGTTACCAGGAAGACACGACTTGCTCAGGTTACCGGGAAAGCTGGTGCTGATCAGGGGGGCAAGTCTTCTTCTTCATCTCCCCAGAGTAGTCAGTCGCCCACCTCTCAGGGGGCTGCGAAAAGGCCTAAGATTCAGCGGGCAGATGGTGTGGTTGACCTGACGGATGGATCTTCCGATGAGGGTTTCACGACCCCGCCTTGTCACCAGCATCCTGGCTACTTCCATAGAGCCAGTTCGTCTAACGTTCCTGTCGGGGAGGCGAAGGTAGTTCTCAGTTTGGATAGGGATGCTCGCCGACAGGTTCTGGCGGAGGACCTGGCTGCCATGATGCACGTTTTCACCACGACGCTGGTCTTGAGCGACGAGAGTTGCTCCTCTGCTGAGCTATCTAAGCTACAGGGAGACCTTACCTTCGCACAGTCAAGGCTGACCAAGGTGACCGGGGAGCTGGAGAAAAGCCAGGGGGAAACAGCCACACAGCGCAAAAGGGGAGATAGCGCCAAAGAGAAGCTGAAGGCCGCTGAAGCGGAGGTGCAGGCGCTGAAGGTTCGCGTGGGGGAGCTGAAGGATTTGCTCTGTCCTGTCGAGGACGAGAATGACGAGGATAGGAAGATGGTTACCCGTGCGGACCTGCTTAGTAAGACCCAGGAGCTAGAGAACGATTGTCTAGAGGCAGTCGGGGTTGGTTTTTCTAGTGCTATGGTGCAACTGAAAGTGGTCAACCCCGATGTCAGCCTGGTCGTAGACGGAATCGGGCCTTTCCACCAGATTGTTGATGGACGGGTGGTCGACCCTAGTCTCAAGGTTGTCGATAACTCTGCCTCCTTGGACGAGCCTGAAGTAGGTGGCAGTGAAGATGTGTAGATTTATTTCGGGCCTGCGTGCTCGTAGATCCTGGGCCTACATGCCAAATCTTTTATGTTTTTCTGCTAAGTGTTTTTGTTGGGCCTGCGTGCCCTTTTTGGGTTTGTAATTGACTACTAGGCTGGTGCCCGCTTTGATAATATAATATTTTGTTTTGTTTAAGTGTGCACTCGTTTTTGTTTGTATGTTGATATGCCTGTTTTATTTATGCATGTTTGTATGCTCGAAATGTATGTTTACTATGTTGTCTAGTAGTTTTGGGGGGAGTAGCTCGACAATAATTGTGCCAGGTAGTGTAGGGAACTGGCCGGGGTGACCGGGGTGGTTACCTACCTGGTCAGTTAGGGGTGAAAATTCTGGCAAGCACACGATGGATGTTATTCCCAAAGTTATAACATCCACTGTGACATCTGTTACTTAACTGCTTATAATCAGGAATAATAAAAGCAGTAAATAACACAACAATTGTTTACCCAGTCAGTGTCAACAACACTTACATCTGGGGGCTACCAAGCCAGGGAGGAACTTCACTATTAGCATAATTAATTCAGAGTCAAACAACACAGTTTTCACTCCTCACTTAAATCCTATCCAATGACAATTCAGCCTAGAGACACTCTAGACCTGAGTATACCCACTCACTCCCCCTCAATCACACAACAGTGATATCAAACAATTTCAGACAAAATATGAAGAGACACTTCATACACACCTTAATCTTGCTTCACAGCTTTGATCAAGGAACTCACACACTCTTGCTTCAAAGTTTTGAGTG